AGGGCCTTTACTTTTACCTTACCTTTTACTTGGCCATTGGCCTTAGATCCCATTGTCTTAATCTTCTTGAGCCCATGCTCTGGAGAATATCTATGATTCTGGACAAATGTTAATTTCCTATTTATCAGAAAGAGCCCAGAAGAGCAAGAATGTTAAACATTTAGGATGGGGGCACTTAAAAATGGAACTGCTCACAGCAGCTGGCCAGGGTAAACTGAAGCTTCCTCTTTCACTAACCTGAGGTCAACCAGATCTGCATGGTGTCCAGGGCTGGGTGCTTGGCAAGGCTGGCAGCCCCAAGTTTGGGTAGGTTCAGACAGCTACAAGGATGAATGGTCTTGAGTCGCCAGTAGTGGTGTTGTAGGGATGTAGACAGGGAAAGGCCCTCGGTGAAAAAAAAAAACAACTTAGGTCAACAGAACTTCTGGGAGGAAAATCCTAAGACTTATTTACCCTGTGGATACAGAAAACAGACCTGATAAGACCTTCAGCAGACTCTGTGGAGATTGGACCCCTCTCCATGAAGTTCCTCTCCTTGAAAATCCTCGGACCTCTCCTTTAATCCAATTGACTTTAGTGATTGGCCCAGAGAAAGACTCCAGAACTTCCGGATCAAGATAACTTGAGAAGAGCCTATAAAAGACACCTTGAACAAAGGAAGGACGTAGGTATGCTGCCCAAGCCCGTGTGCTTGCTTGAACCTGTGTGGCCAAGTACATGTGGTGCCTGAGCACATGTGTCGCCCGCACCTCCCATCTTGAGAAGTGTACTTTTATGCTTTCCTATCTAATGCTGGGATGCATGTAGGGGCTCTCTCTGCTCTTGGAAAAGCCCGCGTTCTTTCTTGAATGTGTTACCCTGTCTTTGTCTCTCTGTCTCTCTGTCTCCCTGTCTCTCTGTCTCTCTCGTTCTCGCTCTCGCTCTCTATCTCCTTCTCTTCCCATCCACACCTTCAAAAACCCTCCAAATAAAATGTTTTATTTCACTGCTTGCCTACTCCTGAAATTCTTTTCTAGGTGTGAGACAAGAACCCAGTAACCCTGGGTCCGGGGTGGCAGAGGCAGATGGGGAGAAAGTATCCGTCCTTCTCTCCCTAACTCACGTGAGCCACCCATGGGGTTCACCGACAGCAGTGGCACGTACTAGTTCAAGATTCTGGGCATTGACCAGATTCAAGATCACCAGTGCCAGGTGATCTTTAGGCTGTAGAGACTGTGCAGGTGTGGGTTGGGACCTCAGAGAGGTGCCAGCGTCTGGCAGGCCTGGGACCAGCCAGATGTAAATCCTGGTGGTGCTCCAGGGACCACATGTATCGGGGATTGAACGGGATTGGTCGCTGCAAGGCAAGCTCCTGAGCCCGTCTTCCCTCCCTTTAGCTTCTCTTGTGGCTTCTCCTTTTCTGAGGACTGCACCCTTCCCTGGGTGCTGCCTTGGTTTCTCCATCTCTAGTGAACTCGGGATTTGCATCAGGATTTGGGTCACACCTGGCAGTGCACAGGGGTTATTCCCGGCTCTACACTCAGGAATTACTCCTGATGGTGCTCAGGGGACCATATGGAATGCTGGAAGTTGAACCCGGGTTGTCCATGTGCAAGGCAAATGCCCTACCCACTATGCTATATCGCTCTAGCCCCCAGGATGTGCATCTTAAAGTGATATGGTCCTCAGGCCTGTGCTCTGCTTCAGGCCTAGGTGATTTCTTAGTTTATTATTTCCCAAGATCTCATCCCCAGGCCCCTGCATCTGCCTGCTGCAGAGTCATGAGTCCTGGCAGAGACATGCTGTGACACAGGGTCTCCTTAGTATCCATCCTGGCCTCTCCCTGCGTCAAGTATAAACTTCATATTTTCTTTTGGGGGGAGGGTTCCCAAGCAGCGCCCAGAGGGTTGGAGGAGCTGCTCCTGGCAGTGCTGGGCCTGGCAGTGAGGGTCGGCAGTGCTGTGTTCAGGCCCCGGAGTGCTGCACTGCTCCCACCCAGCTGCCACCAGGGGCCACTAGGACTGTATTTGGGAACCCAAATTCAGACTTGGGGCCTACCACACACAAGGCATGTGCCTTAGCTTTCAGTGCTCTCTCACCCAGAGAGGGGACTGTCTCAAGCCGAACCCCACTCTGGATTCCTGGCCTGCGAGGACCATGACACCTGTCCCAGGAGTTCAGGAGCATCCCCTGCACCTGGCACTGCTTTGTTCTCATTATCTCCCAGCCAGTCATAGACCCCACGTCATCACTGACCTCGGGACTCCAACCCTAGGAGTAATTTAGAAGGGGCACTGGAAGAGGAGCTTGCTAGTCTTGATTTAGTTCTGTTTGGTTTGAGTTTGGGGGGGCATACTCAGCTATGCTCAGGGCTTACTCCTGGCTCTATGCTCAGGGATCATTCCTGGGGACTGGGGGATCCCATGGGAGCTAGGGAATTGAACCCCGGTGGGTTCAATGTGAGCCATGTGAGGCAAGCGCCTTACCTGCTGTAGTCTCCCTCTCACCCTATCTGTTTTGTTTTCGGCCTCTTTAGTTTTGCTACTTGAGTAAACATTTGTGGAATGTCAGGAAAAGACCTCCCCACTACGCTCTGCATGTTTATGTTTCTATCAGCTTGACAAATTCAAAAGGACATACAAGTGGAGGAAATGCTTCGGATTTTCTTTCAGAAAAATCTCAGTTTTGTTGTTGAAATGAATTGGTTTGTGATGACTGGGAAGCTTATCTCAAATCTCGACCCCCACTAACATGTGGTCTATGCAGAAATGAAACAAATGGGCTAAGTAGAACAAAAACAAAATTTTAAGCCATAAGAAGAATAAGAGGCAGGGGCTGGAGAGATAGCACAGCGGGTAGGGCGTTTCCCTTGCACGCGGCCGACCCGGGTTCGATTCCCAGCATCCCATATGGTTCCCTGAGCATTGCCAGGAGTAACTCCTGAGTGCAGAACCAGGAGTAACCCCTGTGCATCGCCAGGTGTGACCCCCCCCAAAAAAAAGGAATAAGAGGCAAGCAGAAGGGAAGGGGTTAAAGGGATTGAATCTGTGGTGAAATACAGATTTTATTTTATTTTATTATTTGGTGGGGGTTTTGGTCACACCCTTGGTATTCAAGGGCTACCCCTACTCTTTGGTGGGGGGGATGATTGGGGTACCGTGCAGTGCTGAATATTGAACCAGGGCTGATACATGCCTTAACACCTGTACTATCTCCAGGTTCCTAGAATTGGATTTTGCACGGAGAAATCAATGTAATAAGCAGAGATGTGAATCTTTTGTTTGCTTGGGGGACATACCCAGCCATACTTGAGACACCAGGACTTTGTCTGTACTCGGGTTGCTCTAGGTGGTGGTTGGAGGACCCTGGTCCCCGGGATCACACTTTAGCTCCCACACGCAGAGCAGGTGTTCACCCTGTTAGCCACCAGTCCTGTCCAGATATTGACCTTTTGGGGGCACATTATCTCAGGGATCACTCCCGGTGGGGCTCAGGGGCCCACAAGTGGTGCCAGGAACCAAATTCAGGTTGGCCGTGGGCAAGCCAAGTGTCCTACCTCCTGTGCTGTCTGACACTCTGGCCAGATGTTGGTTTATTTTTAAGGGGAGGTCACAGCATGTGGTTAGGGCGGTGGTATTGGGGAACCGACTCTGGGTCCCCCCTACAGCCCCAAGTGTATATAATGATCCACACCTGAATTTTTCACTTTGTAGAAGTTGTAACAAACGGCAACTTCAACTTGAAAAAAGATGCATTTTCCATGAACATTAGTCTTTTCAGAATTCCATTTGCCTTTCTCGAAGAGAACTTTCAGAAAGTGAAATGTTGGAGGTCTTGGAGTCAGCAGGAGACTCCTGGAGCCCAGAATACTTCGATTCTCCTGCTCAGTGCAGCTCCTCTTCCCTGCCAACCTTACCTCCCTCTTCTCCCCCCATTCAACTGCGAAGTGCACTAAGCCGTAAAGTACGTGGAGAGGAAATTCCAGGCTGTCCTGGCTTCACACATGAGAGACCACTACCACCGTGTGCGTGTGTGTGTGTGTGTGTTTGTGTGCCACATGCAGCGGTGCTCAGGGCTTAATCCTGGCTCTGTGATCAGGGCTCGTTCCCCGCCGTGCTTGGGAGATCACACAGAGTACAAAGGCTTGAACTCGGGTCAACCCGTGCGATGCAAACGTCCTCCCCGCTGTGCTCTCTGGTCCAGCATTAAGATACAAAACAAAAATTGTTTTAAACTGCTTATTGGCTTTTAGGAGAAGAGATGTTTGACTTTAACCGCGTGGGGAGGAAGGTGACTCTCAGCGTTCAAAGACTGCCGGGGCTGGGCAGCTCGTTCGTGTTCAGGATTTCTGCACCTGTTTGCATCTTCTGTGCAGGAAAACAGTTTCCAAAACGGAGAGAGCTTCTCAGAGGCTGGGGAGAGGAAGCAGGGGGTTCAAGGCTGCTGGAAGCGCCCCGCCGAGGCCCCGCCCCGCTCCCGGGAGGCCCCGCCCCGTGAGACCCCCGCCCCGCCTCCGTGCGCGCCGGGCCCCCGGGCTCCCGGAGCGGCCCCCGCCCCGCCAAGGCCCCGCCCCTCCCGCCTCCCTGCGCCCGGCCTCCCGGCGCGGGGGCGGAGCCTCGGCCAGCAGCCAATGAGCGCCGGCGGGCGGGCAGGACTCCGCCCGGTTGCCTAGGCGCCCGGCGCGAGGCCCCGCCCCCCGCCAAGGCCCCGCCCCTCCCGCCTCCCTGCGCCCGGCCTCCCGGCGCGGGGGCGGAGCCTCGGCCAGCAGCCAATGAGCGCCGGCGGGCGGGCAGGACGCCGCCCGGTTGCCTAGGCGCCCGGCGCGAGGCCCCGCCCCCACGCCAAGGCCCCGCCCCTCCCGCCTCCCTGCGCCCGGCCTCCCCGCGCGGGGGCGGAGCCTCGGCCAGCAGCCAATGAGCGCTGGCGGGCGGGCAGGACGCCGCCCGGTTGCCTAGGCGCCCGGCGCGAGGCCCCGCCCCCACGCCGAGCCTCCCGCGCGGCGCTCGGAAAGCCTGGAGGTGGCGGCCGGGGTCCTGCGCGCTCCGAACCCGCGATGGCCGCGTGGAACTTGGGCCGGAGGCCCTGCCGCACGCTGGGGCTCTTGTTGCTGGTGGTCCTGAGCTTCTTGGTGCTCCGCAGGTGAGACCACCGCGCGCGCCCCGCCTGGCCCCGGGCACCCCGCCCCACGTGGGTCGGCGCCTCCGCCCCCTCCGGAGGGACGCGGCCCCGGGGTCCACCCGGGCGCGACCCGCGACCCGCCTTTCCCCGCCGAGCAGCGCGCGGTGCGGCTGCCGCCGTGCGCGCTGCTCGCCTGGAGACCGGCCCCTGGCGGCTGCAGCGCCCGGATCTGCGCCCCAGCTCCCCGAGGGAGGCCTCAGCTGCTCTCCCTGCGGGAGGGTGACCCGCCAGTCTTCAGATCCCTCCCCACCGGGCCTGGGGGCGCCTCTTGGATTTCTGGGTCTCAACTCCTCGGGGCAGTCCGGAGCCCTGCATCCTAAGTCCTGGCCCTGGATTCTTTTTTTCTTCTTCTGTGTTTTAGGTTCTAGGAGAACTTTCTCCCTGTGCGTCAGTCCCCAGCTGGCTCTGAGCCATCTCGCTCTCTTTTTTTTTTTTTTTTTAAAAAAAGTGGTAGAATGGTTCACCCATCGCCCAGGTAGGAGTCTAGTCCAGAACTTTCTAAATGGTGTATCTCTTTATAAATAGACACAGCCCTGACCCTGCTTTTCAGGTCGATGCCTGGCACTTTCCATATTCAAAGCATGGGTAGCACAGCGCATATCGGATGCTTTGGCAGGAGGCTTGATGTTGGAGAGGCTGAAGGCCGAGCTCTGAGCCAGGGCAGGCCCAGCACCCCTTGGCGCTACTTTTGGGACTGTTTTCCCCCTTTTCTGAACTTTCTGGTGTGGTCAGTGGGTTCTCGATGGAGATCAGTAAACTGGCTCTGCGTGGCTGCCCCAGGCCGGCTCTCAGTAGCCCTTCCTGGTTTACCCTGTTGTAGGGACTGAGGTTCCTTCTTTGATTTGGGAATAGTGACAGTGTCCTGGTGGTCTTGGGAAGAAGGAGATGGTGTCCCTGTCCCTCAGTTGTCCTGCAGCTCTCTTGCCCCGTGGCTGTGTGCTCCAGCCCCTCCTCTTTGGAGACTCTTGCTGGGGGCTGCGTGCTGTCCCTTGGGCCGCGCTGATGCAAGCCCCAGGAGATGAACTAAGCCATAGGCACCCCAGGGCGTATGAGAAGCCTGTGGCATGCCTGTGGGTGGGGCAAAGGCTGGCACAGTTCACACAGGCACTCAGGCCATGAGGGGTGTCCCGGGGGCTGGGGAGGACCCAGGTGGGCCCAGCCGGAGTTGGCGGACAGAGCAACGATATATGGTTGCACTTTGTCTTTGGTGGTCACTGAGTCCCTCGGTTGCACTTTGTTTTTGGTGGTCGCTGAGTCCCTCCGCAGTAGCTGCCCCTGGGGATGACTGGACCTTTCGGGGAGTGACCACAGAGTCTGGAGTGGCTGCACAGGCCAGGGGAACCGAACCTGTGTGCCAAGGGAGCCCTTTTGCTCTGGCTTTTCCGTTAGGCTGGGCGGGCAGAAGCCAGAGGAGCCCCAAAGCCACTTCAGGATCGTCTTTGAGACAGTGTTTGAGTGTCTTTTCCTGGGCCACCCTCACAGACCCTTTTTGCCCAGACCCTTCTCTTACTGGGCCAGGCACACGGCCGTGCGGGGACAGCTTTACCTTAGCCGGGACCATCATCGGGCATGGCGGGACTGGTGGCGGTGGCTGGGCTGTGAGCATGGCCATGGCCTTCAGGGCACCCCGTTTCTATGCCTGCGGCGGGCATGGGGACTGGACTGTGTCCTTAGTGGTCCTGTGGACACTGTGTTGGGCTGCTTTATGTCAGTCAGAACTGATCGATCACATTGTTCCCGAGAAAAGCAAGGGGCCAAGATGACTCTTGGTTTTCGGTTTTGGCTCCCGGATGGTGCTGGGGCTTCTCCCAGCAGTACGTGCTGGCTTAGGGCTTGGCGTCAGCGCGGCTGCGGGAATTGGACTCCAGGCCTGTGGGGCCTCTGCTGTAACCCTGAGCTGGCTCCCTTCACCCCTCTCTGCATAGGGGCCACACTGGCAGTGCTCAGGCACCCAAGGTCACTTCCCGCCGTGTCAGCCCTATGAGCACCGCAGGTGCTCAGAGGTGCTGGCATCCCTTGGCAGTGGGGAGAGGCTGGCCATGTCAGGCTGAGATTCCCCACCCCACACCAGGCCTGCGCTGTACCACAGAAACCGCAGGACCTGCGGAGCATGGAAACCTTGCCCAGAGGGTCTCGCAGACACAAAAGAGCTTGATCTGCAGAGCACTGCGGGTGGACGTGCTCCCCCCTGCAGGATCCTGCAGATTGGCCTGCAGGCGTCCATCAGCCCACGGCTTCGTGGCCCCTCTGCTCCCCCACCTGCACCTCTGAGTGTCACAGCCAGGCCACCCTCCCGTCTGGCTGCCAGCGGGTCTGGTGGAGTCCACGAAGCATGTCATGGAGAAGGCGTGAACTGCAGGCATGGTGCCTGCTGGCTGCCCTGGGCTGGCACCTGCTTAGGTGAGAAGCTTCACTGAAGCCCCATCAGGGCCCACCTGCACCTCCCGCCTGGGGCTCAGCAGACCAGGAGGAGGTGGGTGCCCCAGGTGCTCTCGTCACTCTCTGGCTTCTCGGGCCCAGCCCGCAGAGCCTCCGTGATAAAGGTGGGTGACGCAGCAGGACGGGGTTTCGCCCCGTCCAGGCCAGCCCTGCCTCTGTGGGGAATGCGGGCCACTTGCGCGTCTCCTCTGGCCCCGGAGGCCACTTTCTTTATGGGCTTCGCTGGTGCCAGGCTCGGCCCTGCTGGAGGCTTGAGTCATGGTCTCTGGAATGTTCCCTTTCATGTCCTGGTTGAAGTGCTGGCAGCTGGCACGAGCCGTGTTCGGTGCCTCTGGCCCAGGGCCAGAGATGCTGTGGGGGTTTAGGAGCCTGACCTGCTTGTGATCCTGGCACCATGCAGGATCCATCATGCCCTGCCTGGAGTGACCCCTGAGGATAGCCGGGTGTGGATCCCAAATCCAAACCAGTCCACAAAAAGCCCCCCCCCCCCACCACTCTATCAGTGTCTGACCCAGTGTTGGGGCAGTGGGTCACTGCAGGCCAGGAGGGACTGGAACTGCCCTGCGCAGGGCTGGGATTCTCCCAGACCAGGCTGTGGCAGTCGATGGTGGAGGCCCTGGGGACCCGGGAACAGGACTGTATGACATCCTGGCTTTGTGCATGACATCCAGAAATCTCTCTTTCCTTCTCTGCCAAGTCTGGGGACAGCAAAAGGTACAGATTACAAGCTTGTAGCGAGAGGACTTGGGGTCCTTGTATGCCCCGAGGGAAGGCCCTTGTGGGGTCTTCGTGTGCGTGTGCATGTACTTATGTGCACATGTGTATGATGCCTGTGTGCGTGTGTGTGCTGTGTGCATGTGTGTGTGCATGCCTCTGTTGTGCATGTGTGTGTGCATGCCTGCTTGTGCATGTGTGTGCTGAGTGCATTTGTATGTGCATGTCCGTGTGCATGCCTCTGTTTGCGTACATGTATGCATGTGTGTGCATTGTCAGGCATCAAACGCAGGCGAGAGCTGGCATGAGAGCCATGGTTTGGGCCCAGAGAGCCAGATCTTGTAGAACTCAGTGCCTGGACACCAGCTGCCCATCTCCCTGGGACTCTTGGGTTGCCCCCTCCAGCTCTGTCTGCTTTCTCTCCTCTCCATGGCCTTTGGCCTTGGCCTCTTCCTCTGATGTCACCCCCCCTCTCCGACCCCATCCCAGGCAGGACTTCTCTGGGACCCGAGGGCTTGGGCACGTGGGCAGTTGTTGCCCGACAGCTGTCACTGTACTGTTCCTTCAGACAGCAGCTGGTGAGTGGGTGTGCAGAGGGCTTCTTTGAGCTGGCGGCTCATGGACATGATGAAATTTTCATGGACATAAAGGACAGACTGTACCCCATACTGTTGGGAGGCCACTGTTGGGAGGGGGTTCTCCACGCCCTCGAAGCTGGGGTGTCCGTCACCCCAGCTGCCACGTCAGCCACAACTGCGTGTGTTGGGGCCCAAGAGGCACCTGTAGTACAAACCCTGTCTTCGAGGGTCTGGCCAGTTCAGTTCTGCTCCCACAGTCACTGACCCGAGGGGACATCTATTTTGAATCTCACTAGATGCTGAGAGCAAGTTGAGTGGAAATGGGTCAGAGGAAGTTGACTCCCTTTGCTAGAGTGCAGGAGGCCCTGGTCGGTCGGCAGAGGGAAAGTTGAGTATGTGAGGCCCGGGCCGTACCTGCGCCCTGTGAAAGCCAGTCTCCCTTACTCCTGTCCAGGCAGAGGATTTCCCTCTGTATCCTAGCCATTTCCTTCGGGTTCCACAGGGGCAGTGGCGGTGGCGGCCCAGCCACCAGGCGCCGTGGGCTGGACGGCAGCATGAGCACTGTTCCCTCTGTCTGTCTGGAGGCTGGAGGCCTTTTGATTCTGCTGCTGCCCATCTGTTATTCTTCCTGTTTGTTGCTGCGGGTAGTAGGAGTTTGTCCTTCTTTGCTAGGGCCCTGGGGTAGGGCTCATCTGTGCTTCTTCATGAGCTCCCTTCCTGCACCAGTTAGCAAATGTTGTCCTCGCAGTGACCAGCCAGTCCCAGTCTGGGGGCCTGGTCCTCTGCCTTCCCGGAGGCAGGGGTACCTGGACTGTAGGGGCTGTAGAAACGGCCACACCACCGTGCACCTGCTCTTGAAACTGCAGGTCCAAGCCCCATGGAAATGTTTCACGCTGTCCTCGCAAAGCCAGAGCACAGAGCTTGGACCCCTGCCAGAGATGCATCCAGGCAGTGCGGCCAGGCAGGGACAGGCCGCCCTTCCCTGAGCTGCAGTGCGGGGGCCCCAGAGAGTGACTGCTTGGGCACCCTTCAGGTGAGACACCTGGGTCAGGGAGCGGCCGGGCTGCGGGAGGACGCCTGCCTGCAAGTGCCGGGGTGCTGGGCTCCCCGCTGTGGGCGGAGATGTGCATAGGTGCCAGAAAGGCACTTCCTGGACTAGGCTGGCCTCGGGAGGGTCACCACAGCGTTGGCTTTCTGGTTTGGCTTCTTCCACAGCCTTCAGTTGTGCCT